AAAGTCTGTGTACGTACCTGAAATACCTCAGAAATTTTACCCCTGAATTCACCTGACCTTTCCCCTCTGTGTTGAATAAAATATTTTGTTAATTTGGAATATAAAAACTTCTTGGGAGCCATTTAAGTCATATAAGTTAAAGGAGGATCCCATTCCTTACCTCAGGTTCTATACCATGACAGAGTGAGACAGCCAGAATTCTTCATGAAAGAGGAAAACAGACAACTAGGGCACCTCAGTCACAAAAGGGAAAGTAAAACCTGGGGGAAATATTGCCTCTAAGGGAGGGAAGTGGACTGCGGTGTCATACCATGTTTTATTTAACAAAAAAACAAAAAAACCCAAAAAAACCCACCTGCTTTTAAAACTTTTCTCAGTCCCATTGAGCACAGACATCTGCTGACTGTGAAAAAGAAATGCAAGGCTCCCTTGGACACTCCAAAGTAGTCACACTGAATTCCCAGGATACTTGGAAGAAATTTAATCTGTGGCCAGACACCAATGGAGATAGACAATTGACTGATAACAACTCGCAGTAAATAGCTCCTCTCTTTGCTGCACTGATTATTCTGTCTTTCCTTTGTGGATCATAGGCTGCGGACACACACACACTAAATAATCCACTTTCACTGCACTTTTGAATTGGATTTTGCCAGTTCACACAGTAAAAATCCAGTTGGAAACTGCATTGAAAGTGGATTATTTAATGTGTGTGACCACAGCCATAGACTAAGATGCACAGGATTATTCCATTTTATGCTCTCAATACTTCTGTGGGAGAGGTTAGGCTGAGCAATGCCTTTTCTTGGTAAAGTATAGACCACAGTTCCCCAGCAGGGTACTTCCCTCAACACTTCCTGAGCCTTTCAAAAAGTGGGTGGGGCTATTGTAAGGTAGGCCTTGTTACTGGCTCCCCTCATTTAAATGAAAGAGTTTGCCACTGGAGGATGAGGAGAACTGGTAAGCAACTGGACTTCCGATATTCACTGTGTGGTTTCATCCCTCCTTCAGGATTTCCTACTTCCCAGGAGGTCTGAGGAGGGCTGTATTCTGTTCGACTCTGCCTCCTGAGGCAGCCATATTGGGTTTGGCTCTGCTTCCTGTGCGATTTAGGAGTGGTGACCACACCCTTTCAAAATTCCAGAGGTGCCTGTAGCTCCAAAAAGGTTGGGTATCCCTGATGTAGACTTGCCATTTTCGTGTCAGCAAGCTCCCCCACTATTGGCTCTATTGTTAAACTGGCATGCAGACACATAAGTAACATGATTTTTTACAATGGAGCCAATAGCTTTGGTCACAAACAGAAAAGAGCCAGTGTGTGTCTGGGAGGTGCGTAATTCCGGACGCACATGTGTTACAAAGTCCTCACGTTGTTTGCAACAAACCACGATTTTGTAAATTATAAATGGAGCCTGAACTCAGGTCTTCCTGGGATTGTTACGTTTTTTTGTAGGTAAAGGGATGGAGTGAAGGTTCATCCAGATTTCCCAGTGCAAGGACAACTCTCCTATGTTTTGGCTGTGATTAGTTAGTCACAAGTTGTACGTAACCATGGAGGCATCGCGTTTCACTGGTCACATCCCTTGATATGATTATTGATATCATTATTGATATGATGATTCCAAATTTGATAGTTCCTGAATTTATGTTTCCTGAGAAAAAATTGAGCATAGGAAATCTAACTTCCAGAATGAAACCCTTCTCTCTCATTACCTGATTCCGACACTTGAAGCAGAAATGAAAGCGAGAATGTCTTTAACCTGACTGACCTAATATGATCGTGCTCTCCCCCATTCAGACTCTTCCGGCTGCCTTTTGCAATGAAAGATAACTTTGAATTCTCTCAAGGAAGGGTTCTCTTTTGTTTTGTTTTGTTTTTTGTAATTTGCACAGTGGCCTGGCTCTGATTCTTGAAAGGACAACGATGGCACATCCCCCCAAATAAAGGAGAATAGCAGCACTGTCTTATCTTACTGCAGGCATACAGTTCGTGCTGAAAATGCTATCGATGCACATCTTTCAAGACGATACCAGAATAACAACAGTGCAATCCTGAGCACAGTTATATCCTTCTAAATCCACCAGAATCCATAGGCTTAGAAGGGTGTAACTTGGCTCAGAGTTGCACTATAGTTCTTGGATTTAAGAATGATTTATTCATTCTAGTGGGGAGCTGTCAACATTAAAAAAAAAAATTGTATGTCTTTCCTTCTAGATGCTCCAGTTGCTTCTCATGTCTGCTTTGCCCTCCTATCCCCTGCCCATGAAGTGGCCAGCAGTCTGAAATGGGAGCAATTATTATACACCATCTTCTTGCTTGGAATATGGTATTAATGTTTTAATTATTTTATCTTGATGTTTTTATTAATGATGTACATCGCTCAGAGCCCTGCATTGCAGGGATTGGGTGATTAACAAATTCAATGCATAAATAAATAAATAAAATAGACTCAGTCATGGAATGACTCAGCCGCACAATTGCAATATGACCCCTCAAGGGTATTACAGGGGCCTATTATACACAGGTGTTTCCCCTTGCTTTCACCGTGCATGTCCATCAGGGTTTCTTTGTCATTCTGCATCTATTTTCCTCCCTTCAGCGCTCAGTTCACTTACTGGTCACTTTCCCCGGGTTTTCTGAGAGTGCTTTTCTGCAAATTTTCCCCTTGTTGTCTTCCGAGCTGAAAGTAACTCAAAAGCATACAGATTCCCTTGGATTTCCCCACCAACGCCACCCTTTTGCCACCCCTTGAAGGTCACTCCTCACCCACACCGAGGTCATTCTGCCCACTCTGCACCTTCCACCATCCTCCCCCTTTAATCATTGTATAAGCTCCATTTTCCCTTTGTTTTAATTTTTTTTACAAGCGGCATGAGTCTAGTGATTTGAGACTATTGCTAGTCTTGGATTGCTGAATTAAAAAAAAATGACTGGGGGGGGGAGTTTAAAAGGAGCTGTGCGAGGTGTAGTTCCCTGCTGGTATTGACTTGAAAGGGGGATTGGAGAAGAGGCAAAGAGCAGTGTCCCCAATGCAAAAAAAGAAAAAAAGGATTTCAGTGCTGCATGCAAACAAAATAAAGGGGGGATGGTCAGCTTGGAATGAAATTGACATGAGATGTAAAGAGGGGGAGAGACACTGGAAAGGGAAGCCTAAAGCTTTGAAAACATTTTTCCCTTTAATGCTTTAGTGAACAAAGTGGGGAGGGGGCCATTTTGGCAGTCTCTGGAAGCCTAACATTAAAATGGCTGAGTAGGGATTTGCACCCAGATCTTCCAACAAGGAGTTGGCACTTTAACCTCTACACTGCACTACCTCACACTGTGTGACTGATCATTTCACACTGCAGCATGTCAGTCCAGAACTCACCCTGTCAAGGATGGTCTTTTGGGGTTGATGGTGTGGCCACACATGCAGCAATGAAAGGAATGTACAGCCCAGACCACTCACAAATAAGCCTGTCTGATGAGCTCTTAGGGGAAGGATCTACAACATAGCCCAGTTCATACATTATCACATATTCATGGCAAGGAAGGGCTCGAGCACATGAAGCTGTCTTAAGCTATGTCAGAGAAAGGTCTTTCCCAACTCCTCAGATTTTTAAACTAGAGATTATAAGGACTGGCTCCGGAGACCTTCTGCATGCAAAGCAGATATTCAACCATTGAGCCATGGCATTCCATTCTGTCTCAGATATGTTGCTTCTATCTCTGACCACAAGTTTGCAGTCCATGTCAAGTGGTAACAACAACTATTCAGCCATGACAGGTAGGTATGATACTGCTCTTTTTGCCAGCACTCAATTCCCACCAATATGGGCATGAGGTCTTCCATCTCACTCAGCTTGGAGCGCATGAACATATAAAGCTGCCTCATACTAATCCAGATCATTGGTCCATCAAGGTTGGTATTGTCTGCTCAAACTGGCAGCAGCTCTCCATGGTCTCAGGCTGAGGTCATTCACATCACTTACTACCTGCTCCTTTTTAAGTGGAGATGGTGGGGAGTTGGGATTGAACTGGGGACCTCCTGCATGTTAAGCAGATGCTCTTCCACTAGGGTTGCTAGACCCCTCAGTTTGGTGATTCCCCACTTTTTGGGGGGTTCTCCCTGCCACCTGGCCACCAGGGGAAGCCCCGCCCCAAAGCCCCAACACCTGCAGCCACCCCTCTCCCTTCTCTCTTAAGAGAGAGGAGGGAGAGGGGCAGCTGCGGGCCATGCACCCAATCTCTGGGTGGGCGGGGGCCTTGGCTGCAGGCACTTAAAGGGACCCCTTTAAGTGCACACCGCTGGTGGGACCATCCCTGTGCACCCAATCTCAGAGCAGCAATGCCACAGGGAGATGGGGCACACGGGGCCCTGTCCTGCCGGCTGTGTGCACTTAAAGGGACTTAAAGTGCTCACAGCTGGCAGGACCGTCCCCACAGGGGTGGGGCTTGGAGCCAGGATGTCCCCAATGTGACATCACATTGGGGATGCCCCGCCCCCTCCGGGAACGCCCCCCAAAGTCCCCTGCTGGGGATGAAGATGCACCTGGCAACCCTATCTTCCACTGAACCACAGTCCCTCCCCTACCATCCAGTGATGGTAGCCTCTTACTACCCTCTGCTTCATTTTACCAGGTGCCACTGATTAGCTGAAACAGACAGTTCACAATGGTAAACATTTGCTGAATTTTTTTTTACATTGTGTGTGTGTGCGCGCGCACCTGTGCCTGGAAGTCATGGTGACGTCTAGCAACTCCTACTGGGGCATGGAGGACATTCAGAGAAGTGGCTTGATAGCCTGCCTCTGCCTCCCAACCCTGCTATTCCTTGGAGGTCTCCCTTCCAAGTGCTTGCCAGGGTCAGCCCCGCTTAGCTTCCAAGATCTGACGAGATCGGGCTTGCCTGGGCTATCTGGGTCAGGGCTATGTTTGCTGAATTCTTAATTACACATTAACATTTGTGCTGGAGTAGAAAGAAACCAGCCATCCCATACCCCTTTAAGCACCTTTTTTACCTGTTATGGCTAGCTGAGTAACAAAAAAGGTCATTCTGGATTTTCTCTTCCTCCTCCAGGTGGAAAGCAGAACAATGGAGTTCCCACCAATTGTTACGACAAAGAGAATCCAAAGGGTAATCAGTTGCTCTGTCTGTAAGGAAAGAAAAAAGAAGCTGGTCAGTGGAAGGATCTAGTTATGGCCCAGCACTGAACTGTGGGGAAAACAAGCATTGGCAATTGTTCATTCATGGGCATTCTCTGTGGTGGCTCCCACCTTGTAGAATGTCCTGAACATTTTCCTGAACATTTCCCCTGCACTTTGAATCATACTAGAATCATAGAGTTGGAAGGGACCTCCAAGGTCATCTAGTGCAACCCCCTGCACAATGCAGGAAATCCACATGCCATGATTGTCAGGTTCGGGTTTCAGATTCCTTGATAGACATCACCAAACACCTCTTATGCAGGGAGAAAAACTTTGCAAACACAGTGGGGCATGCAGCAGTCTTCCATCTGCTCACTTGTCTAGATTACACCGTCCATATCAACTCAACTATACTTAGTCCAGTGAGCTGCATTTCAGCTTCCACAATGAAGTGAACTGAAGCCCAGTAATGATTTGCACCTTAGAGGGAAGCAGGAGCAGTGCTTAGCAATGACTGAAACTACCATCAATCACCATAAGACTACATAAGTATGCGCACAGAAACAACCTGATAATGGGCAATTTTCAGCTTTATTTCAATCCATCCTAAGGACTTGCACACATGGAGGCTAAATGCTGAGGAACTCACTGCAGGCTCTGGCTCCAATCGCACACAATGTTAGCTGGGGATCCAGGTGCATTGCAGTTCAGCAATAACTCTGTGCCTCTGCCACAAACAAACTCTGTACAAACAAAGTGATTCCTCATCACTCAAAGCAGAGGACAGCAGGTTCATATCCATGATGCTTCTACAAAGGCTTGCCATTGGAATTCAGTTCTGCAAAGATTTGGAAGCTCTCATTGCACTAGCCCAAACTTCCTGCCGGCGGAAATGTGATAATAGAGTTTCAAAGGCATAGTAGCCAAGAAAAGATTTCTCTCTAAGAAAAAGTCAAAATTCCCAAGACAGCTGGAGATATGCAGGGCATGTGCATATGGTTTCTTCCCTTTGGTTTCTCAAAGTGCTCCTTTTGCATAATCTCTGTTTATATACATAAGGCTTGCCAAGAGCTTTGATCATTGAAGTCCTTGGTTCTTGCACACCCACTGGCTCGCCCGTGAATGAATCGCTATTTTCTTTGGTACCACATCAAATTCTTCAAATTATATCACATCACAATGCTATTCTGGATTTCACGTACACTTTGAGATGTGCGGTAGAGAATTACATAAAAAGAATTTCTTCATTACAAGGAAAATATTTTGGTAACAACTCCCCCTTTGTTGATTAAAATCACTCTGCTATATTACTGTTTTCTGGGAAGTCGCATCCAAAGAGTGGGTTGTGTGATGTATCAACAACTTGTTGTATGTTTCTTTTCAACAAACAAGCAATTTTATCAGTTACACAATGAAAACGAAACACTTCGTACTGAGATCTCCAGTACCACCCTAAGCTGAGTTACACGCCAAGTTCCCCTTTCCCCTGATAAAGAGTTTATGGTTGGGAAGGAACTGCTCCGAGCGTAGAGATAATGTGACTGAAGACGTTTGGACTTCATGAAAAAACCTGAAGAAAGGACTCCCAGATCTTGTGGGTAGATCTTGGCGCCTGCCCATGTCCCCGTTTTAGCTCTAAGCAAGTCATCTGCCTAGGAAAACTTGCATATTTAAAAAATGTTTCAAATTCCAAATGACTCAGTTTCCTAGTAGAAAACCTACTTTAAAACCCTTCCACTAAACAGCCTCTGGTGTCAAATATTTTGTGTATTCCTATAGTGACCACTGGTAAATGGTTTGATACATGAAGTAGAAGCATTCTTGTGCATGCAGGGGGTAAACAGGAAAGTCTATCCAGGGCGACAGATATTAATCTTTACAGTTTTGGGGGGTGGGAGGGGTTGCAAAAAAATATTGACCAGGGAACCATCTGAATGCAGATCTAGACTGTCAAAACCAAAACCAAAATGAAAACCTTCTTTGGCTCCAAGTCCAACCTGATTACTGTCAGTACCGATATTATTACTGTCCACTCCCTGATGGCTTTTAGAAAGCGAACCATGGCCTTTCTTTTTCAACTGTACAGAGAGGAGGAAGAATACAATCTGATGCTTCTGGTCTGTGCTCATTTGATTTGACAAGGACTAGCTTTATTACTTTAGATTAATTTTAAAGTTTTTATCCATGTCACGTGATTCCCTTAGTGTTCCGAAATGGTGTATCACTGTGCACCCAATTGTATGCTTACATGGTAGAATGTGGGATGTAAGTGGAATAAACAGAGGAATAATAGTTTTCCTACCCTGAACTGGTGTCTGTGTAGGAAAATATTGCACATGGAAATGTGTTCGTCACATCATCAACTGCGTGCCGCTAACTGAAGAAGTAATATTTTATCTCATTTAGACAGGTAACAGTCGGTAGAACTAGGCTGTAGGCATGGGTAATGAGATAGGTCCATGGATAATAATTACCACAAAAGCCCATGTTCCAATTACCTTTAAGTGCATGTACCACAATGTCCTTTAGTAATTACCATTGCTTTTTCAGGTTAACGTCTGGCTGCCAGCAGAAATGCTATTAACATCAATGAGAACCCTAATTGTGAAGTCATTCAAAGCAATAATGAAATTCAGACAGTCATTTTAAACATTTTTTTTTTTGCTGTCAAGTCATAGCTGACACCACGAGGTTTCAAAGGCAAGAGATGTCCAGAGGTGCTTTGCCATTGACTGCCTCCGTGTCATGACCCCGGGCTTCCTTTGTGGTCTCCCATCCAAAGACTGACCAGACTGGGCTAGCTGGGCTAGCTGGGCCTCTCCAGGTCAGGGCCGTTCTAAAACACCTTTTTACTTTCCCGGTTTTCAGTATCAATGTGAAAAGCCCATCTGGGATCAAGATTATGTAAGTGGTTTACTAAACATCCTGTACCAGTTCGGTGTAGTGGTTAAGTGCGTGGACTCTAATCTGGGAGAACCGGGTTTGATTCCCCACTCCTCCACTTGCACCTGCTGATGTGACCTTGGGTCAGTCACAAGCTCTGGCACAGCTGTCCTTGAAAAAGAGCAGTTTGTGTCAGAGCTCTCTCAGCCCCACCCACCTCACAGGGTGTCTGTTGTGGGGAGGGGAAGGGGAAGGAGTTTGTAAGCCGCTCTGAGACTCTGAGTGAAGGGCGGGGTATAAATCCAATCTCTTTTTCTCTTCTTCTTCTTCTTCTACAATTTATTTTTATTTTCCAAAATTTACACCGCACACCTGTCTGCCCTCAAAAGGGACAGAAGGGGGGGGGGGGCTAACGAATTATGAAACCATATATTGATAACTATTAACGCCAGCAATGACACCATCTTAAAACAATTAGAACAAAGGCTAAAATAATACAAAATCATTTTAAAAAATTAAAACATTGGACAGGAAGGAGGGATCACTGAGGGAATGCCAGTGAAATAAACAAAAGATAGTCTTCACTCTCTGGTGAAAGATGGGAACAGAAGGGGATAGAAGATGCTCCCTGGCGCCCCTGACCACAGCTGCCACCTGCTTATCGAGCAGTAGGCCTGGGTGCAATAGCACCCTCAGACTACAGACCTATTTCTTTGGGGGAAGTGCAACCCCGTCAAGAATGGGTGACACCTTAAATCCTGTCAGACCTTCTGCTCACCAGTAGTACTCCATCCTGTCAGGATTAAGCTTCAGCCTGCGTCCACTCCAAAACTGCCCCCAGGCACCAGTTCAGGGTTTCTACAGCCTCCCTGGGATCAACTGCAAGTGGGAGAAAAAGCTGAGCATCATCGGCATATTGGTGACAACCCAGCCTAAATCTCTGGATGACCTCACGCAGTTGTTAAAGAATACAGGGGGCAAGATGGAGCCTTGTGGGACCCCAAAGGCCAAGGGGCTGAGCAGCAGTCCCCCAGCATCACCTTCTGGAACCTACCCTCCAAGTAGGACCAGAACCACTGCAAAACATTGTCTCGTAATCCCAGCCCAGAAAGGTGGTCCAGATGGATACCATGACTGATGGTATCAAAAGCTACTGAGAGTTCCAGGAGAATCAACAGCATTCTTCCATCCATCTCCTGGTGTAGGTCATCCACCAGGGTGATCAAGGATACTTTTAAATGAGCTTTTGCTAAATAACTTGCTTTATCTAGGAAAGCTTGGAGCTGTCCACCCACCACTCGTTCAATCACTTTGCTAAAAAAATTGAATATTTGAGACTAGTCGATAGTTACTGAGGTCTTCTGGGTCCAGGTAGACTTATTTAAAAGTGGAAGCATCACAGCCTGTTTCAAGGCAGGGAAAACCACCCCTCTCTAAAGGAGGCATTGACTACCTCTTGGACCCAGTGAACCAGAACTGCCCCAGCAGATTGAAGTAGCCAGGCAAGGCAAGGGTCATGCAAGCAGATGATTGTAGGTAGGCGTCAAAACTCCAAGGACTCTATCCACATGATCAGACTGAATAAACTGTTTCTTTGCCACCATCACCACCATAAAGTACACTTTACAATGAGCTTTTGTCCATGTCTTACCGGGTTCATCCCAAGTCTTCCTCCACAGTTGCGCTAACCATCTCCCTTGTCTTTTCATCATGCAGCCCCTCATTAAACCAAAGGGCTACCTGGGCTCTAACACTTGAGAGAGAGCACCTGGAAGCAATCGTGTCAACCACCCAGGTCATTTCTTTATTCCAGAGGTCAATCAGGACATTGACAGGTGCACCAGCCATATCAAAAGGAAAATACCCTGGAGCCATGAGAAAGCCATTTTAGATCCACGTGGCTCCGATCATTTTAATAGATTCCCCTACCCCTGAAGAGTCTTGGTATATCTAACCCAAATAAACAGTGATCTGTCCATGACAACAATGATGATTTAAAACCATAACACCAAATACTTAATGCTTTTCATTACATCCTTTTCTGAAGGTCAAATGGCTTGAAATATTTCTAATCACACATCCAGCAAAAGCTGCTCACTCTCAGCTTTAGACAGAGCTCAGAT